TTTTGCTCGACAAATTGGCTTCAAAACAGAAAGTTCTCGATCAAATTATCTACCTGTTGAATATTTTAGCAAACGAAAAGTACCAAATAAAGATTCCGTAATGTCATATAAACCACATATTAACGAACCTAAGCAAATGGGGTAGAATATCGGAGCGAAATTCTGCATTTTTATCAACCTCTTGTACTTTACCCATTGGGCGCCATTTTGAATTTCATCCAAGCGAAACGTGACGTCACACTGGCAGTGATGACTCAACCAATGTTTTGCTTAGAGACGCCCCCTCCCTCCTGCTCACAACCGGAACTAATGGCAATCAGAGCGTTTTCATTTCCAATTACCTTCCGTATGGCGTGGGATTTGGTCTTGTCATCCATCCAGTCAAGTTCAAGTATGTTCTGTTGAAACGCCTCCCTGATATCATCTGTGAGTTCTTTTGCCTAGGATAGTTTCAGTTTGAGATAAAACAAATTTTCTTTCCTCAAGGCGAGTATGAAAATATGAAGCAAATGGACACAGAGAGAATATTTCTATAGCAAAGAAAACAGTATAAAGTTCAAAACAAATACTATTAAAACATCCTAAACAGGTTACTTCACGAGGTAGTGGATTACTGTTCTACTCGCAGGCAAGAGTTCATAATCTCCTTCACAAGCCTTTTTCTATTTTGCGCAGCGAGGTGAGTTTGCGTTTGAATACATCAACAATACTGCTTTGTCTTTCATTTGTTCCCCTTCCTCGCCAATCGACTTACGACTGCATATAAGGTAAGTCAGGGCTGCGGTGGATAGCATAGCAAACATCAATGAAACAAAAGCGCTTCGTACAATTTTCTTACTGTCTCCATTGAAAAGTTTATCCACATATATTCTGGAAAGCGGTGTGTCGAAGTATTTTTCTTTCATCAGCTGCAGACATAGCTCTTCTCGCGGGATTGATACCCAGTAGTCATCTAACTGGATGTAAAAGTTCTTAAAAATCTCCTCAAATTCTTTTCCCAGTCGTAGATATGTCGAGTGTACCAATCTCCACATTATGTAGTTGGCAATGGTTCTAAATAAAACGCAGTCCAAGCTTAAGCTCCTGGCTAAATTCCAGTTTAAATATTTATTTTTTGAATGAAATAATATATACAAAGATACAAACGAGATGAATGCAATTAGAAATGTATGGTTTGACTCAGGTATAACTTCATGCAGTCAAATCCCCCACTGGAAGTGGCCGCTTAATAGTGGTTAGTATGAGGCTTAAAAACGCCAATTTCATTCAATTACAAACATGCTAAGGCAGGTTTAAACATGAAATAGACACTTTTTTCAAACAAGCGTGACTTCATAGATATAGTTCAGAACCACATAAACCTATATATCAAGAAGAAAGCACCGGAATCGCAGATACTAAACTTAACATTTATTTTGCCCTAAAGTTATTTGGCATTTCACAATAGCAAAGAATATTTAACAATCGGTATTTAAATCTGGTGGCGGAAGAGGTACAATTAGGTCAATTATATTTCGTTTAACCGCTTTTTCGCACAAAAAGGTTGAATGATCTACAACGTGGTATATGCATTCAGGAATCTAAACAAACCAAAGATCGCAGTTAGTTACGTAACTTAGGCAGATAAAGCCGAGCAAAAATCAGTTCCAAACCATGACATCTGCTATACCGAGCAGTGCTCTACCAACTGAACTATGGAGCCAACTGGGAGCTCATGAGGTCGAGGTGTTTTAGACATTCTCACTAAAAATGCGGAGTCGGAATGTTTTTTCAAACGAATTCAATAACATACCTACATTTCATTTCAAGCTTCCTTACATTGGCAGTTTTTCCAGTGTCACGCAGAAACGCGTACGTGGTGGTATAATCAGGCGGTATTGTAAAAACATAGATTTCAAATTAGTCTTCTATTCATTCGAAACAGGCTCCTTGTTAAGTTTGAAAGATCCTATCCCAAGTGGGCTTCAGGCGTCATGAATAAATTTCTTGTGGAGACTGTTGTCCCTGCTATGTCCGGTAAAACTACTCATTAGCACGTACTAGTTATTCATGATAACTAACCGCTGCCCGGTTAGCTCAGTTGGTAGAGCGTCAGACTGCGATACGGGAGGTCGAGGATTCGACAGCCAGACCGGACCAACACTCAGGGTCTTAAATACCTGAGGAGAATGTGCTGCCTTTGTATAATTACATCTGCAAATGGTTAGACGTTCAAGTCTTCTCGGATGAGGACTATGAGACCGTAGACCCCGTCTCCTGCATCTTTAGGGTTACATGGTTAACAAGGGACGTTAAAGAACCCACGCACTTATCGCAAAAAGTTGGGCACGGACTTCCCGCAGCAGTATTTTGCAGAACGTCGAATGCCGAATGCATTCAGTGCATTCGACATTGCATTCGACATTCGGTATTCGGTGTTCTGCAATATACCCCTGCCAATTAATTAGGGTGTTGAGAAATTTGGAGAAACATGGGTTTTAAAAGATGCTGCACGAGAAGAGACGGGGCGATTATTCATTATCACATTAATACAGGCAAGTCCTTTTATATTTCAAGAGTTAAATCATGTTCTCGAACGAGACAACAGTTAAAGTGCCTATGAAGTAAAAAATAATTGCTGCTTATTTGAAAGATTTTTCAAAGTGAAGAAGAATGGCGTTTCCCTTTTTGGAATATCTTTTTTCATTCTAGAGATATTTCCGTTTTTGGATTATGCAAATGAGGAAAGTGATGACGTCATAAGTGGTTCCACTTGAACAGCAAAACACTGAATCAAGAATATCTCTAGAAATATTGGAGCAGTGTTCTTCAAACTTGGCACCACAAATGTGCATCACAAAA